CTCATTTCTGTAAGTGTACACACAGCACTTGCGCCACCTGATTTTAGAGACCTGATAAACGCATATCTTGTGATTGTGGAAGTGGCTTGTGATATTTTGGCTGAGGAATAATAAATGTGGAGGCGAACCTCTTTGTGGCATTCCTCGATTAGGAACATCCGCCATTTTAAAAGGCTAGTCACACTGGCCACCAGGACAGAAAGAGGGGGAGTGGGGGTTCCTAGAATGGTCATGTTCCATTAGCAAAGGGCAGAAGCAGGTTCAGGTAAGACGGCCTTTATAGTACCCAGCAAATCTTACCAGATTTTGATGATGCATTTATGATTCCGCAATGCACTGGCCACTCCTCAACTCAAGAAACATTGTATACTGTAGCTAGATGATATATTCTGTTTCGGTTGAGACAACTGGTATCATAATGCCAACCTGAAATTAGTAGTACATCTTCCATAAGAATTAGATTTGACAATGAACTCAAAAAAGTGTTGGTTCTTCCACTGATTAGTCACCTTTTGACACATCATGTCCCGTTAGGTCAGACAGATGGTTGTTACAGAAGACCCCACAGACCAAATTATGACATGGCCAACACCGAGCATTCAGTCGGAACTCCGTAGATTCGTTAGCTTCGCAGGCTCCTTACCACAGACTTCTTTAGAGGTTTCCGGTGAAATCCCAAAATTGCTGTTTTATAAGCTTAAGAGGAAGGCAGCTTCTAGACGTTTAAAGTGTCAAGGTGCTAACTTCAAGAGTCGGAAGTTAATGGATAGGTGTAAGGACGATTCTCACTCTAATTGCTCTACTTAAGGCTTTCACTATGAATACTCAAGCACAGGATTGGGTTAATGCCTCGATCGGGTTCTCACAGCTGAACGTGCTTACCTGACGCAAAAGTGGAGAATCAGCCAAGAACTTTTCGCAAACGTGGGATTCGCAACCAACAAAGCTCTATTGTGCATGACGCATAGAATGACGATGTGAGATGAAATATCCAACCTCATGAGCAAACACCTATGCCCATCATACGCCAGATAGAATGTCTGGTAGGGCAGGCATAGCCAGCCCACCCAGAGGGACGCCCAGGGCATCCATATGGCCTTGTTTCGCCGTCTGGAGTACATCCTCACTTTCACCATCCTTGAAAGAAAAAGGACTTTCCAGTGATAAAGATAGTCTGGGAAACATAGGTCCACGAACAGCCGATCACGGTCCATCATAATGGGATGATTAGGTACACAGGCTACCTGAAAAAAGAATCCTTCCGACAATGGCATATAAAGAAACAATTCGCTATGGTGAATCCATAGATGTTACTAACGACAATTAGGTGGCTATACGAGTCATGTTTGGTATATATATTTAAATGACAAGCGGGCAAGTTGGTCTGGCCACGTGATTGCAAGAACATCATCGGCCTCCAAAGTGAAGAACTCCGATTTTCATAAAACTTAGCTTCTATAGCTCCACAATACATAATATTATCCACTAACCGGTGTATCAGGGGGCTGGCACCGATGTTGGAATGAAAGGACAACGAAAGCGCTGCAGGTGCAAGTCTTACAATATTCTACCTTCCATCCGTGCCAAAGCCATTGGTGCAATAGTTAAATTCCACGAAAGAAAACGTTCCCATGAATGGTAAAAATTGAGTATGGAAAACATAAGCACAAGGTACGCTGTCCAAACTCCCATTACTTTAAAACGTCACTGAGTTAAAAGGGTGGTTTTAAGTATGAATATATCCGTAGTGCATTTTCCATATATAATATGCCCCTTTCTCTAGTCATTCTTCAATTGTTGCATTTTAAGGCTTAAAAATCATTCAAAAATAAAAATAGTAAGGCTTTTTGACCTTTTTGTTAGGTAATTAGCTAAATGAAGATCTAGGGTTATGACTTATATTTTGTTTATATTACCTAACTTCACAAACGTCTAGGGCAGTCGTGCTATAGTGGGCCGATATAGGGACCATTAGGCGAATAGTTCAAGGCCCTTGGATGGTTTGCTACTCTGTTCGCTCCACTGTTACATAAAACATCCATGGATATGCTGAAACATCTTCATCCAAAAAGGTATTCGCTCTAGGGCTCTCATTCCCTCCAATTAGGTTGTCATTCTCTGGCAAAAAAATCAAAGATATCAATGACCCACTCCTAAATGAAAAGTCATTTACTTCTAACGATGGTACGTCAGCGTTTAATCGATTTTGCATTTTCTAAGAAGTTTCCTTGCATACAAACTCATATGGAGATAGGGAATCTAGTGTTCTGAAGTCAAAGCATTCAATTTTGAAATCACGGTCTTTGGTTACACTTAGTGATCCCGATCTGCCGTCTAAATTCAAAGAATTATTTGAAAAGGACTCCAAAGAAGTTCTTCTTAAACGTTACAAATGT